CTTGTGGCGCAGAATGGCAGCCGCACAGAACCTTGCGACAGTTACCAACAAAAAAAAAAATTGTGGAACAAATATGTGTATCATGCGTATTATTTGATTGTTATAACTGTTGTGATTTGTTTAGATTATTATATGATACCCTGCATCAATTCATCTATTTATTATTTCAACATGTCCTCATTAATAATGCAATTACCACTACATTCACTCAATATATGCATAGTAAGATCAACGTTTTAAGTAACTTATACATGGTATAAAAGTACAGGGTATAAAATTCCCATCATTTACCAATAAGGAATCACAGAATTTTTACATTGATAATGCAATTAATGCGCATAATTGGTATCTGTTGATGTTTATTTTGCAATAGATGAAAAATATTACATGTATAAAAGCACTTACTATTATTATATTTAAAACACTGTAATAATAGAATTTCCTCCTTTATTATGCTAATTAAGTCTTCATTTGCTCTCTCTCAGCTACCTACATACTAAAATTATGACAATGCGTTGCTTCTAACCGGTCGCATCGGCTTTAAAAGATTTCACCAGAAAGTCCCCAGGAGTTTCAGAACAAGCTGTTAGGAAGAGCAAACCCTTACCACTTATTCAGGAAAAGCTATCTGTCACCAAAAAGTCAAGACCATAGCTTGTTCAGGACAAAAGATACAAAAACTGGAGGTTCTGCTGCAGTACCAAGGTCATCCACCAGTAGGACCATATTTGACCTTGACCTTTGTCTTCCTAAGACCTACTAACACACCAAATATCATAACAATCCATATAGTCGTCCTGAAGTAATGCTGAATATAAAGTTGGACAACAGAGAGCAGACAAACAGACACGCAAGAAAACAGTAACTTCATTTTTTATGGAGGTGAAAACGTTCTTTATAGGCACTTGAAGTTGATGCACCGCCGAGGCGTGCTACATACCCCGAAGTCATCTGTGGTGTGGCGCTCCGACTGGGAACTACGCTACATTTCAGCATTTTAACTCCGAATACATTGCCCCAAAAAGTATGTACTCACAAATATGTAAGGTTCTATGGGACAGATAGTTCGCCAGGCCAATTTTAATGGATGGTATTTTTTAGTACTGGGATTCTGGTTGGCCCACAAACAGCAGTCTATTACCATGCTGTAAATCTACGTACTGAGTACTCATTCCAACACAATACTGGTATTCAAACAGAGCGTGCGAGAAGATGCTACCGATATCCGTGGAAGAAGATAAAAAACCCAATCTGTTGAAATCAGAAGTAAGAGGATATTTTAGACAAGGAAAGTTTTGATAAAATTGTTGCTGAAGGGACGATCCGCTCGCCGTGCCGGGAGCTACGGGAGAAATAGTATTCCCGGCCACTTGGAAGCCGACGGTCGGACCGCTGGGCCTTCATTCTTGCAGACATGGACGATTTGAATTAATGGTAATCTACTAAACCCTTCCTCCTCTGATATGGTGAAGAAATAATACTGTACTTGTAATGCAGGAGAGTCGGCCATACACCACCCTGTTTAACTCTATCTAGACCGGGGGGGGGGTAAAAGTGCCCGCGCCAAGGACAGCCAAACTTGGTGACTTTTCCTAGACTGGCAACAATTCTCTATCATTGGAATAAGATAATGATTTTTGTGTTGCCATGGCAACGGGTTACTGGCAGGCATTTTTTTGCTCGATTTAGTCATTTTCGTTTAAACATTACAATAGAATTTTATTGGTTTTATGTCTAGTTACACATGGTTTCTAATATTAATAACATCCCATATAATTTTATGTAAATTTCATCATTAAAACTGCCCAATTAATGCTAATTTGATGACGTCATTGGCCTAAATCCAAGATGGCGGACCATTTAATAAGAACAGGTTCTTTTTCATGAAATTTCATCTATGCTTATTTTACAAAAAAGGTTCATATGAACGTCTTTGGTGTGTTTACAATGTATTTCAGGCTTCATTCTGAAAAAAAAAACTTTTTGAAAATTCAAGATTGATGATCCAAGATGGCGGATAGCTTAAATATGCATGACGTCATTTTATAACGTCAACGGTGTTGCTATGGGCAACACAAGATTTAGAACACTCTAATAATCTGTCATCAACACTTTTGTTAAAGTTATATAATTGTATATCGTTTAGTTTGCAGAAAATAACCTATCTAGACGGTTTTGACCAATAAATTCACATTAATGACATCATAATGACGTCATATTAGATTATAACGACTTAAAAATTGTATTTACGATGAATTCCTACTGGTACACCATCCTCTAAAAATTTGGTGGTCATACGACATACCGTTCGCGAGTTCTGAAGGGGGGAGGGCGGTCCCACCAAGCCAAAAAAAAGCCCGGTCTAGATACGGTTAGGGGGGGGCACTTTTTAAACACACCTTGCATTTCTACAACAACCTGCTAAACGCAAAGCCACACATTAACTACACATGTACGTACCAAATATAATCTCAATCCACCCAGCGGTTCTTGAGATCATTACGCCCAAAGCAATCGGAAATCAAACAACCGTGCGGGTCTAAAGCAAAGAGCTAGGTGGGCAAAATTTACACCACTAAGTTCTTACGTCAACAACTATATGCTGTGCCAACATAGCATCCACAGACCATCCAGCACCAACGTTAGGCCAAGCCGTCTTAATTCTATAGATGACATCCTCTGAAGACTCCCAAACTAGTGCGCTAAAAATAAAAATGCTACTAAATCACAGGGATACAAAGCTGGTATTGTGAATTTGCGGCAGTACATAGCGACGTATACGACAAGCCGGCACAGGCTGGCTTTTTGCGTAGTCTATGAATCGGCACCGTACATATGTACTGAGATCCTTAGTTCGTGTAGCTTCGGTAGCCTGGGTGCCGTCCTCCAGAGTTACTACCGGCTCCGTATTGTCGCTAACTAGCATGGACTACCCAGGCCTAGAGCCATGCAGGCAAGAACCTTGGAGGACGTAATCTTTTTTTGTTTTTTTTTAGGACAGGCGAAAATCAATGCGCGCGTGGATGTCATCCATGAAATTAGGTCGGTGTGGCCTTATTTAAAAAAAAAATCGTACTGCAGTACCAATTTCAATCACCAGAAGACCAAAGTCAACCAACACAATCCTCTATAAACCCCACATATCTACCTGCCAAATATCATCGCATTCCGTCTGGCAGATCTTAAGATAAACACCAAAACATCGTCCAGACTGAAAACAGTGTACCATTTTATAGAATAAAATACTGTCAATAGTCGGCCATATTGTCGGTCCAAATGTTGTTTTGCTGCCACCATGTAGGTTTGAAGTATAAGTTAAAACTAATACAGCCATACCTCCGTAAACTTATACCTCCATTGTGCCTCAAAAAACACGACTTGTAGTGACGTAGAAGAATGTTTACTCTGCTAGTCGATAAAAAATGTACTAACGTTTTACCTATATGTTTGCGTTTGTTTATGTAATAGCAATGAAAAAAAAGTCTTGCCAAGAAATATCCACAATAGATTGATAATATATTCACTCTATATCACGGGTAGTATCACTATTCTACAAAGTCTCTGCCCTGACACACATAACACTTTTAACAAAACAAATCAACACCGTACCTATAGCTTGTTTAGGTGTAGTAGCTCCAGTTTGGACCACGCCATCACGACTGCAGGGTACGTTTTGGTCACAAGGGGGCGCTGGTTCGTAAATCTTACTGTCCACCCCTGTGTTGTCTGAATATAGCGGTAACAAGGGTTTTCCTTGACCGTTATCTTGTCCATTTCTGCGTCCTATACGTTCAGACGATCCCTCGCGTCCTCCGTTGTCTCTGTACAGATGTGACGTTGCTAAAGTCGCTTCTTTACCAGGGTCTTGGTATAAGGCAAGCGGTGGTGCGACTGCTTTATTCACGGCCGCCCAAGTATTCCGGCTACCCCAGCCTACGTTTTTGGCGACGCCTCAGGGGTGGAGCCCTTAGTATAGTACTGCGATTGAATTGCCAGGAATTCTAAATATTCCACGCACGCATTCCCTAGGGAATTCATTTTTGGCAACACCTTGCGGTTGAGGTCTTCCCTCCCAGCTGTTTAGCCGTTTTTCAATGACTTTGGAGCTTTTTCGACAGCTTGGTCAGGATCATTGTTTGGAATTGAACAAGGTCAGCATTTGAAGTCAGATGTTTCAAATGAGATGTCGTGATTGTCTGAATATAAACCAATATGTTACCGCGTTTGGTTGTTGTTTTTTTCTAGTAGTTTTCCTTCTCTTTATGAAAAGTATGTGTTTGGACATAAACCCAACGGATGAATTCAAGTTCTTTTCAATGTTTCAAAGGAGATGTCGTGATTGTCTGAATATAAACCAATATGTCACCGCGTTTGGTTGTTGTTTTTTTCTAGTAGATTTCCTTCTCTTAATGAAAAAGTATGTGTTTGGACATAAACCCAACGGATGAATTATAAAGTTCTTTTCAATGCAACTTTGTGAGGATAAAGGAAAGACGCAGAGACAAGGCTTTCCGCACACTGGGCACGGGAGACTTTTAAGACGGACTGGCTATGCCTATATGATACTGGATACGTTAACCCTTTCAGTCTTAACTGAGTTATCTTTTGCTTCTTGAACTGGCGTCCCTTGTTGTAGAAATCCTGTGTCTTTATACTTAGTATTCTCATACCTCCATGGTATTCTGTATTACCGCATAACAGTGGTACATCACTTCAGCAAAGAATAATACATTTGTTCAAAGAAACAAACATATTTGTAACCGGAGCAATAACAGGGACTACAATAACAGAGAACTGTCTAAGTAATTACAAGGGAACTGTTCGGAGTTTCATCAGGTCTTGCACTATCATGTTCTTACAAGTTAGTTAGAGAGTGCAATCGTACCACTGCTCCCATATACACCGATTGTTCAGCATCTTCATGGTTTTTAAAATGTGTACATTCTCCTCGATTCGATTTGAACCGTCATTGGCGAGGTTTTCTAAATACATATAAAATAGGTCATTACAATATATACACTAAGATACCGTAAAACACAGGCAATGTATCATCGTAGTACAGACGTATGTAAGTCACCCCAGTAATCTCTAACTGGTGTAAGGTTTACTGTGGCTAGCAATGTATTATATAGCCTGCACGTGATGGCTCTGCTACTGATCTGGTTCCTTCCCATGTTTCCTTCTTTCTGTCGACGATGCTACTACTTAATACACATATGATATCAACATGCTTCTTCTACCATCATCAACAATATCGAAACACAATTTTACACAAAGGAGACTGGAGTCAGTTGTCATGATCAGCTCTGTGACCGGGAGGCTTGAGTCAGCTGTGACCACGGCTTCTGGCATATGTGATTGTCCCGGCTATAGCACTGCAACTGCCGGCTAGAGCTTGCGCACTAGCTAAGGCACATGGTATTGCAACTGTATGGAGAGAAGAAAGGCTGTCATTGGTCCGATAAGGTGTGAGGCTTGTTGCTAGTGTCAGGACAAAACAATAGACAGGACTTCACACATTGAAGGTATCTATACATGAAATACACTCCTACCATTATTGTATATGATACCTGACAAATCTCCCGTTTAAATGGCTACCCTCTATCCACAGCAAGTAAGTCAACAGTAATATGCCTCTCACCGCGCCTCATAAAGATCTCGGCCAAAACATATCGTGGTGCGAACGTCACCGTGAGCAAATGGTAGCGGTTTGAAATGTATTTCTTCAAAACAAGGTGTACATTTCCTAAACAAGTCATCGAAACGTAGAAAACAGTTGAAGACAAGGCTGATATAGAATGTGCGTCAAAAGTACACTTGACATGACAGCTGTGAACTGCATAAGTAGCAGTCCTTCTGCGCCTTATAAATTAACTTAGCCAAAACTGGCCGACGTTACCAAACATCCACACCCTGTAGAATTATGGATAAAAGTACGTATGAACTCACCTTTTTATGTCTGTATCCCTGGTTGAGAGAAGGCAAAGGGGCTACGTATCTCCACGCCCGCCGGCCTGGGCAACTGTAGGGAAACAGCGGTGATTAGCCTCGTGTCAACTGTCATTATAGAAAAGAAAAATATAGATAAGAAAAGATAAGAAAAAATATCTCAACTTAGCGAACATACGTCACAGGTCCTCCATTACAAAACTAAGAATCAGTTGTCACAAATTACGAATTGAATCAGGAAGACATTACCGCACTCCTCTAGAACAAAGAACCTGTCAATTCTGTAGTTTAGGCCAAATAGAAGATGAAATACATTTCACCATAGATTGCCCCTTGTATAGTAGAGATAGACTCATATTTTTTAGCCATGTATTAAGTATATTTCCCCACTTCAGATATTTGACTAGTAAAGAGAAATTTGTATTCCTTTTAACTTTCGATAAACCTACTCTAAGTGATCTCACAGCCGCATATATCCATACAATCACTACTAAGCGAGATGAAGCCGAAAAGAATAGAAATTAGACATTTATTTACGCTCTTATATGTTCATTTGTATGTAATGTATATGTTTATGTTCATGTTCTGTACCCATGCGACCTGTACTTAGTTCTGTAGAACACAAATGTACAATAAAGGTCTTCATTATCATCGCGGGAATGTCTGCTAACAACTCGCCCCCTGGCCGTACTGGCTCGACTTTCCACAAACGAATCGAGACGGGATATGAAGTTCCAAAACCAAAGGCAAAGTCAACTTTTGGGGCCATAGTGAAGGACAGACTAACAAAAAGGCCAGGCAGGAGGATTAGGAAAAAAATAGCCGAACAGGAAAGGGCAAATTTAGCGGAGAGAAAAAATACTAGGGCACAAAAGAACGGGGCTAGACGGGGCAATAAAAACACAAGAAAGCATGGGAAAGCGCATCAAAAAGGGAAAACCAGCTTTCAGAAACAATACAGCCACAGAAGGGCAGGAAATGACCAGTGAGGGGCGACCGTTACACCACAGGGGTAACTGGGACAAGATGGCACAGGAATGCAAGATGCGACACAAACAAAGGACCACCCGTGAAGTGACGCTTAGATAGGGATTCTCAGAAACTGAAACTCGGCTTTTCTAACCGGAGAAAAACGTTCTATCCGAAAAAGTTGGGGTACGGGAAAAGCAATAACGCCAAAAGCGCCACAAAATCAGCCGGACAAAGTGAACTATAAACTTAGCAAAGTTTGGAAAACAGGCCGAGAAAGCTAGCCGAAAATGCGGAACACGTGGGGACGCTTAGCAGATGGTCAAAGCTACGAACTATACGAAGTGTGTGGCAACTTTTAACGAAAATTCTAGCAATTACAGCAGCGTTCACAGGACAACAACTTGACGTACAATCCGGTATGGGAACCAGTGTAGAATTTAGGAGGAATCAGTGTAGTATTTCGGGGATCTCGGTTTAGTTCTTGGTCTAACTTTACTTACGTCACGGTTACGCGTCTATCTGATTTGCTAGTTAACCAAGTAAAACACAGAGCCGGGTCGATTTCGATTGTACGGGTTGCTGTATTGTGATCTGCTGTATATATACAAAGTCAATGGTCTAGTCTTAGAGTTACAGTGGTCTAGTTTCGGATCTAAGTTACAGGAGTGGAACCCACAAGGGATATGAACTACAGAGAGCTAATACAGAGTGTGTGTTACTAACCTGGGGTCCTGTGGTCGACTGAATCCTGACGCTGACTGCTCTCACCAGTCATTGGCTAAATGAGCATGTAAATGAGCGTCCTGCTTGTGGAAAGGACGCGTGAAGAGAGCAAATGGTTTTAACGAGCTCTGATTGGTCAATTCCAGAAAAGTTTGAGCGTGGCCCGTGCGATACAAACAAGGAGACCCCGTGTGGTACAAACCGGGAATTCCCCGTGCACGTAGTGCACTGGTCAACGTAAACCTAGCGGGCGAGGATCGGCTTTCGTGTCCGGCCAAGTCCGGCATAAATTTCCCTTTCTTAATGCAAATCTGTCGTTTTTGTTTTCTTTGTGTCTTTCTAAAGGGTTGTGATAACCTACTCTACTCGGGTGGTATTTTCGTGCGCGCTCGCTAGTACGTAACGTATATACACGGCGGCGATCTGGCACTGCGTTATTTCTACCGTAGCGGGTCTAAACAAGACGCAAGATTCCTATTTTGGGGTATAAAATGTTGTCACAGTGGTAATACACTATTTGAAACGGACCTATACGAAGTACCTTTCTTTGGCGACGCTAGGGAAAACAGCATCTCTCGATAAACAGAGATAAATACTTAGATCCTGAGGGGGTGCCTTAATTCCGACCTACCCCTAATTCCGTCTTCTTGGGCCCTTGTCGTCTTGTCAGACGGTCTACAGCTTCAGTCACTCTCTGCGGGTCTGGCCGGGCAGCGCCTCTCATTCCGTACTAGTTTGAAAAATCCTGGTTGCGGCGTTATGCATGGAGCACGTGCCTAAAAATAACAACAAGAATGGACAAAGTTTTTGTGATGATGTCCGTAATCTCACAAAGTTTGTTTTAGTTCGTACACTCCGACAACAGACGAGTGAAAAATCTGTTTAAATTCGACGCTTGTTCGTTACCGTTACCTCAGAAGGGAGTTAGTCACGAAAAGGAACTTAGCCACGGAGGGAGTTTGGGCATTGGCCCGTCAATAATTAACTCGTTCCCCGGACAGTCTGCCTCGCCCAGCATGATCTCCTTCCCAGGATCGTCTGTGTGACGAACCCAGGCGCCAGAAGCCATCATGCGGCTGTATAATGTATTGCACAAAAGACTCACACACGCATATTCAGGAGCGTGTGGCGGTCTATTTAAAAGCCCCGCGGACACTTTTGTAATACTGGATGTTTCCCAGATCGGACAAGTGTAGGCCGTCAGGCGCAAAGTAGTTTGCAATTTGGGTTGCGTCTCCACAGACGTCTGTGGTCCCATACTGTGACCTTGGTGTAGTTCTGCACAAGTCCCTTCAGCGCCTCCGTGAATTTGTGAAGGCGCTGAGGAAAGTCAGGCATGTTAGGTGGAATATGGAGACACCAGATATCTGGGGAACCTTGGACGAGCGCCCGGTCTGCTTTCTGGTGGAGACCCACTGGGTGTACACGTAGCGTGTCTATTATATATGGCAATACCTATTAAAAAGCTCATCCTTATTTGGTAATACTTGCGTCAGATACCATTCTTTTCTAATAACTATACCTTACTCACGTACTTCCTAAATAATCAAACATAAATCCATACGAATGTGAGTTACAGCTCAGGGTACACATTTCATCAGTCGTTGATGCATGCATCATATTAGCACCCTCAAAAACAAACAATACAACTTCCTACATACAATACGGTGTTAAAAGCACACACATTTTGACATACTAGTGGTACTAAAACAACAATCCGTTATAAGAAAAAATCCTTTTAAACAAGGTATATCAAAAGGGTTACAAATTTATACTATAATATAACTAGAGGTCCCCGATCTCATACCTTCGCCAAATGATGTTAATCTTTATGACTGACAAATTATAGATTATTCCCCCTGATTTAACAAATAGGGTGCTCATTTCCATTCTCATTTTCATGGATATCAATTTATCATATTCGCAATGTACAGTCTTATATTAACAAACAATGCCATTCTAGCATTTCCTAATAAATTATGCAAATGAGGTCCTAATTTGAATACATTATGTTTTCATAAGATAAAGATAAGTGTTCACCTTCAATTATCTTTCAAATACCACAAGTATGAAATTCCAGGCACTTATCATTACATAATTATAAAATTAATTATGCAAATTAGGTCTTCGTTTACATAATCAATATCTGCCTGTATTTCTCTCGTTCTCAATTACCAATTTCACGAGCTTCAATAGTCCTATCATGGAATGCAGCTGATTTATAGAATTTCCCCATAAATTATGCAAATCACATAATTATATCAAGCATCACGTAAGCTACCTACATACCAACAATAACGACTATCTATCAACCGGTTCTTGAGTTATCCTCTTTTGAATACTTTCAAACATATAGCCCTGCAGTTCCAGAGCAAGCCGCTAGGGGGTCTAAACTCACGTCACTTCTTCCCCAGCACAAGAGCTACCTACCATCTAAATTTCGTCACCCTAACATGTCTAGATCATGAGATATGAAAACCGGAAGTTTAGCTGCAGTACCATAACAAGCCGCTAGGGGGCCCCGAAACTCTAATCATTTTGTAGGTCTCATCAAGACCTACCCACCTACCAAATATCAAGACAATCCATCAAGGCCTTCTCAAGTTATCGTGTTTACAGACACACAGACACACACACACATACACGAACGCCTCTGAAAACATAACCTTCTTGGCGAAGGTAATAATTATATTATTAAAATACGTCGCCGGTGTGTTTTTTAAACACCACCCTTGTTATCTGCTGGGTTTTGGTACAGAGCATGCGGCGACGTTTTGGCTATCTCTTTCCTGAGGCCACACCGGCCTTCCCTTTCATCCGCTGTGTCCCGGTAGAGCGCACACGGTGATGTTAGCTTGTCATGACCGGCAATCTCAGCCTCACTGTCTACAGAAGAGCTCGGAGGGAGGGGCTCTTCGGTACACGGCTCCATACAAAAGTCTGTAGTTTAAAACTCAGTGGTGTTACACCTACTTGTTTCTTGTCTGCCGCCTGCCTCTTTCCTTCCGAGATGTTTCTTGTTAGAATAACAGTTTTCCTCAACAATATGGTTTGCTTTACGCTACAGATAAAGATGCTGGCAAGAAAAACACTGTCAACAAAACGGACTAGAAAAACGAGACCGGCACCTGGGTAGTTTGTTGTTTTTCTGTCAGAGCAGACTAATTTGGGAACTGTTTATAAGATGACTTATAATGAGAAAGCCATACGCAGATTATATAACATAGTCGTAAAAGGGCCGTAAGAAATTTAATCAACTTAAAAGAAATCTAAAGCACTTTGAGCAGGAGATGAATCGGATCCACCCGCCTAAAAAGACGGACTGAACTCTCATGTACATACTACAGTTATAAAAATTAAGGGAGAAGGTAGTCCTAAAAAGGGCTAATATGCGCAAAATGCATACTATTGGGGAGAAACAAAACCATGAAATGTACCCCCCCCCCAAAAAAAAAAAACAAGAGACATTATATAGCAAGATCACGAGATATCAAAACCGGAAGTTCCGGTGCAGTACCTAAACAAGCAACTACGAAGCCCCTTATCGAAACATTAAATCCTACCCACCTACATGTACTTATAATTAAAGTTCCATGACAATATGTTGTAGTATATTTAGTTTTCTTACTAAAACCACACACGTATACTGATGTCGCAATGCAATATTCTCTATGTTGCCAAAAAAGGGATTCATGGCAGGCATTTAACCCTACCTAGACCGGGCTTTTTTTGACATGGGGGGACCGGGGGGGGGGGCTCTTTTGACCCCCCCTAAGAACTCGCGAACGGTATGTCGTATGACCACCAAATTTTCAGAGAATGGTGTACTAGTGAAAATTTATCATATCTACAATTTTTATGTCGTTATGACGTAATATGACGTCATTATGACGTCATTAATGTGATCTTATTGGCCAAAACCGTCTAAATAGGTTTTTCCCTGAAAACCTCCCTGGTATACAACATAACTTTACCAAAAGTGTTTATGACAGAATATTAGTGTGTACTAAGTCTTATGTTGCCCATAGCAACACCGGTGACGTCATAAAATGACGTCATGCATATTTAAGATATCCGCCATCTTGTATCATCAATCTTGAATTTTCAAAAATAGTTTTTTTTTCATGATAAAGCCTAAAATACATTGTAAACATACTAAACACCTTCATTCAAACCTTCTTTGTAAAAAGAAATGGAAGTATTGATGAAATTTTAATGAAAATAACCCGTATATACCTGTTCTAATGATATGGTCCGCCATCTTGGATTTTGGCCAATGACGTCATCAAATTAGCATAATTATGCATATTTAATGATAAAATTTACATAAAATTATATGGGATGTTATTAATATTAGAAACCATGAGTAACTTGACATAAAACCCGTAAAATTCTATTGTTGAAACAAAAAGTACTAAATTTAGCAAAAAATGCCTGTCAGAAACCCGTTGCCATGGCAACACCAAAAATTATTATCTTATTCCAATGATAGAGAATTGTTGCCAACAATATTTGAGGAAAAGTCACCAGGTTTGGTCGTTCTACGGCTAGCCGTTCAGACGCTAGGTGACATCAAAGTTGCCGCGGGCACTTTTAGCCCCCCCCCCCCGGTCTAGGTAGGGTTAAGTATAAACAAATTTGTCGGAATTAGTATAAACAAACTTGTCGGATTGTCGGTTAAGACAACTTCATTTTTCAAAGCATAAAGAACATTTCTTGTGATTTAAACATTTTGAAAATTATAATGTATGTCAAATAATGATGGCATTATTAATTCAAGATCTTTTATCAATATTCAATTATCCTGGGGTTATTAACTAAGATCAAGTCCAAGAAAGAGATAACCATTTGTAGTTGGTTTTTGAATTGTTTGGAATAACCCGTCGTTATCAATTGTGTGTAGTAGTTTCTCTACTTGGCCTGTGTAGGCCTGACTGTTGTCAGCTACAGGATCCCATTTGATGCCAGGGGTGTTGAAATTGCTAAGAATGATCACAATGTGAGGTTGCTTTTAGATTACGCCAACATAACATGGGCGGTAAATTAATGTTTAAAGGATGAATGTTTTGATTATTTTGTCTACATTTTCGTTAACAAACAAACAAACAAACAAACACACATACACACACACACACACACACACACACACACACAAGCAACATGCGTATAATATAAACCAACAATACAAATTCTGAAGGCAAACACAATCATAAACACGTAAACATTCATTTTTAACTTTGAACATTTATATTATGGAATATAAGCAAAAGGAAATACAAAACTTAATGTCTTTACAGTATCTCCAGTCTCAATGATGAACGGCAGATCTAACAATGTGCACGAGTACAAAAGTACAGACTCATTTCCAGCGTTTGGTTTGTATCTGTGAGTTCGTGCTCTTGTGATTACGTGATGGTGTATGTCGCTTTATATTGTAAAGTGGATTCATTCCTCAAGCTATCCGACATCTCGCACACGCAGTCGTCCCATCCCTCAGTAAGGCATCTGGAGCCGCATGCTTTCGAAGTATGTTGACTTGATATCAGATCATAACTTCTTGCTATAACATTGGTAAACGCTTTTGTTTTATTTATTAAAATTCACTAGCCTTTTATAGTCTTAAAAAGGAAACGACAATTTTCAAGTCTGCCGACATCACTGAAGTACAGTTGATGATATTTGAGTTACAATCTGTGTATCTCTTGTAGCGGTCGATCTTTACTTCATACCTATGCCTTACACATACGTGTTACACATGATTTTCATTCAAGTTCCTTTAGTCAATAAACAACTGTATTAGCTAAAGGTGATCACATAAACGTGTTCCTCTTCTGTAGTGTAAGGCATTTAACTGTACATGATTGGGGTTTAATCTTAACTTACCGTTATACAAGGATATATGAGTAAATGCTTAAAGAAATAATAATTAAATCCTTACTAGGGTCACAATGATGAACATCAGGTGGTTCACGCGTATCGTTGAAAAGCAGAGAGTGAACAAAGATTCTGTCTTCGAAGACAGTCGTGCTACAAACTACTCATCGTAACTACATGTATGCTATTATAGTTCTTTAGTAGAATAAAAGAAGATAAACATTACGCTGTTATCAGTGCGATGTCATCAATGTCACATAGCCAAGTGGTTTTCAACTGCAACTTTCTAAAAGTTGGCAGGTCGATCCTACCACTACATATTACAGTTACAATATTGTGTTCCTTAAATGCAATAACTGTCAGTCCTGCAATAGTTAGTACAGTCGCAGCCAGTTAATTGCAAAACGCTTATAAGAAAAAGTCTGCTAATTGAAAAGAATTGTGAAAACCCAAACCGTTTCCCATTGGTACCATTGTTTATCGCGCCCCTTATTTGAAAAGCCAAGGTCGGCTAATTGAAAAGAAAATTGTCAAGTTTCAAGACATTTTCAACCAAAAATATCCCCCAAAAATCGCCAAAAACGGCAGGAATGCGCCGACAATTTCCTGTACAAAGACATCAAGCCGCCAAAGGGAACGAAGTTGTCTGTTATGCGCTACAAAGGAGGGCGGTTTCTATTGGAATTTACGTTGATAGCGCGGTCCGGCGGAGGGGCGCGCGTCGGCACGAGATAAAAGAGACGCGCGTGCCGTCAAAGGCGGCGTTATGCTTCCTTGTTCTTTTGTCATGTTTCTTCAAAGAATGTTTGATTTCTTAGACAACTCATTTTTTCTCAATAAAATCGCGTGTGTATCTGTGTGCTGTCTCATTACTGTTGAGTTCGTTTCGACTGCAACACGTTCGTTACCGACCAACATGCCTATCAACACGCCAGCGAAGAAGAGAGTGGACCTCACCATAGCCGACAAGGTCAAGGTGATCAAGCTTCTGGACAGTGTTCCAAAGCTGTCGCAGACGGAGGTGGGGAAGAGGTTCGGCTGCTCGACGGCGCAGGTATGCAGGATCAACAAGAACAGAGAGGAGATCATGCGACAGTGGGAGTGCAACAGCAACCCCAACAGGAAGAGAAAGAGAGAGGGCAAAAGCGGCGAGGTGGAAGAGGCCCTCATGCGCTGGTTTGTTAATGCCAGGGCCAAGAACGTTCCTCTCTCCGGTCCCATACTCATGGAGAAGGCCAGGCAGCTAGCGGAGTCCCTCGGAGACGAGAACTTCAAGCCTACCGACGGCTGGCTGGGGCGGTGGAAGCAGCGAAACGGCATCGCCTTCAAGCGAGGGCATGGTGAGAAGAAGGACGCGGACACTCAGTCTGCCGAGAACTGGGTTCGTGACGTCCTGCCGGGCATCCTTCAGGAGTACGACGAAGACGACATCTACAACTGCGATGAAACCGGCCTACTGTACCGAGCACTGCCAAGTGGAACTCTGGCGCAGAAGACAGAGACTGTCTCTGGCAGCAAGAAGGCCATGGACCGTATCAGCGTCATGTTTTGCTGTAACATGACCGGTACCGACAAGCTCACACCCCTGGTCATCGGACACAGCCGTAACCCCAGGTGCTTCAGGGGTCAGCGAGTCCCCCTGCCGTGGGAGTCGAACAAGAAGGCTTGGATGACGGCCGCCATCTTCAGAGAGTGGGTGCGGAAGATTGACGTCGAGATGGGAAGGCGCAGGAAGAAGATCGTGCTTCTCCTGGACAACTGCACGGCCCACCCGCACGACATCCCACTAGAGAACATCCGCCTTGTGTTCCTGCCGGCCAACACAACGTCTCTCATCCAACCACTGGACCAGGGCATCATTCGTAACTTCAAGGGCCTGTACAGAGCTCAGATGCTACGACGAGTCATCAGTGCCGTGGACAACGATGAAATCGACAACGCACAGAAGTTTGCCAAGACGACGACCGTCTTGGACGCCCTCTTCATGGTGAGAGAGGCCTGGAAGGGGGTGAAAGACGTCACGGTCCGTAACTGCTTCGGCAAAGTCAGTATTGATGAACTGCATTTTGTGAACTGCATGTGAACTGCATTTTAGATTTTCTTGTTTCCTTTAGATCTTAGATTTTATATGTGTCGTAAGTAACACTGAGTTTACATTTAAAACTTACAAGTTAAATGTGCCGCCAAAACTTACCGCAAGGAATGTCGGGATACCTACACCCAAGCTACCCACGCCATGTCCGCCATCTTTGCTTTGTTCTCCATTATGTGAAAGATGCCCACAGACTTGCAAGTTTTCCGTGTAATCTACGGACATCGTAAGCTATACATTTGTAAATATGGAAAGTAACAGTTTATTTTTACATTAGTTAGGATCATTTTCATGTGCTAGCTAGAAATTCTGAAATTGAAGACAAAAATGGAGCGATCTTTGTATGCGTTGTCGACTTGTAACGTTACACTACCATTTGTCTACGAGCGTGTATTGTACCCCACTCGATCAGAATCGACCCAAAACTTAATTTTTGTAACGTAAGAATATGTGTAGCTTGAAGATGTACATGTACATTTATCTGTAGCTTGTTTTCTACGTATCAAACAAAGCAGTGTTTATTTCTTTCTTTTACAAATGTATCTCGAGTAGAGCTAGAGCCGATCACTTAGTGAATCGCCTTCCTCGGTCGGTCGAATCGATTCGTTCTTCTTGTCTGTAGAAAACAACAACAAATACGTTGGAAAATTGTACACATGCGTATGATGACATTTGTATCGCAAATGGAAATTGTGACTGCTTGATTCGGCCGATACAGCACATGAGTTGTAACAAATCTTCAACGTAGTCGGTGCCGATTTTCTTCAACTCGTTCGAACCTGTAAAATGAAATAAATATACAGTTGTAGTTGTCGTAACGTTACATGGAATACTTTGTAAATATATAAGGGAAATTTCACAAGTAAATGTACAATGTACTACTGTAAATAAAGTTCACTTGTCATATCACTGTGTCTGTATTTCATTGTGTCACAATTTGCCTTTGTCCACCCCCACCGCCGACGTTTCACTCCATGGGTTGTCAGCCTCTTATAATCGGAAAGGCCGGGTAACTGAAAAAAATGCGCTGACAAATTGGCTTTTCAAATAAGCGGCTTCCACTGTACATGTAAGTGATTACCAAAACCACTGTGTGTTGTGCAATATCCAACGACTTGACTGTGCCGACCCTAACTTTCCTGGAGGTAATATAATAATGATAAATGATAAAGGACTAAACTGCTAGCATCTAAGAATGATAAATTCTAGAATAAGCAAAGAAAATATAAAAGTTTACTTTATAATATCTCCAGTCTCAATGACGAATAGCCGATCGAATAGTGTTGGCGGATACGTAATTGGAAGACGAGTTTTTGCTACCAGGGTTTGGTGTTGCATCAATATATTTTGTGTATAATAACAACATCGTCATTTAAGCGTGAAAGCAACATGTTGATTAATGTTCTTCTCCAGCTACATCAGTTGTACTTTAGTAAGTGTGCCGCAATGCCTGCCTATGCTCATGTCAGATCCGCTAATTGTAAATAACGCTGTTTAACATTTTGACTTAATATCATTTATATCTTTTTTGACATAACAACGGTAAAATGTGTTTCAACAAAATCCATTAGCCTTCATATTCATACAAGGCAAACATGATTTTTAAATCTGCCAACGTCACGTAAGTACTGTACAGTTAATGATGTTTGAGTCACAAGCTGTGTACCTCTTGTAACGTTGGAACTTTATATGAAATCTGTGCCTTACAAATATGTGGTACACAGTCTTTAATTCAATTCCATAAACATTCCTTTTGTAGATTGATGTTGAATTCAGTTAAAACCAATCACTGCATTTGCTCAATAATGTGATCGCATATCCCTCTTCGTAGTGTAAGATATTCGAATGACTGGGGTCTAATCTTACTTACCGTTACCTATAGATATAGGAGTAAATGCTGAAAGCGATCATTTTTTTTTAAATCCTTCACAATGATGAACATCAGGTGGCACAAACGTTACGTTTAAAGGCAGTTAGTAAACAAACGTTATGTGTCTAAAGGCAGACGTTCCATTTGTCTTAGGGCTCCAAACTGTTCCTTACACGTTCTTATCTTTTTTCAGTAAAACAGAAAAAAATTACGCTGTCTTAGTACGATGTCATCAATGTTACGATGTCATCAAGTGTTGTTGAACTGCAACTTCCTTAAAGTTTCTTGGTCAATCTTGCCTCTCCGTGTTACAGTTAAATTTTCTTAAATTCAATTTCTGATAGTCTACTCATGAGTAAGTGATTACGAAAATCATTGTGTTCCGTGCAATATCTAACGACTTGACATAGCAGATCCTAATTTTCCACGCTATATAATAGAAAAAAATATTAAAAGGAAAAGCATATATTCTAGAATAAGCAACACGATGGTCCGGTTGCTAGCCTTTTGTCCGCGTTGCTAAGGCTAAGTGCGCCTCCCACTCACCGCGGGGTGTCTCCCGCTCGCCTGTACCCAGGCACTTACACAAACAAACACTGCAAATATCTCTCAAAATAACGCATGATCGGAATATCATGTCGAGAAACAAAAGTAATGATTGAAAAGTAGACAGGTTCACTTTGTAAATAAGAAGAAGTAAAAACGTGACAGCAAATTGCAGCGTTCGAAAAGTCCTTCTTACGCTAGTGTTTAGTTCCGGCAACGTGTATCAATCGAACTTTGAACCTTGTGACCTTTCTAATAAGGATTTTTTTCCAATTTACGCGCTAAACATTAGTTGAGGTCCTAATCTATAATCTCACCAATAATTTTTTAATTCTATGGTATTAAACTCGATGTCTGCGAAATCTAAGATCATTTACGTAAATTTCGGGGTAGATTTCGGCCAAGATTGGGGTATAATTCCCGTGAGCCTCCATAGAACAACAAGAACGCGTCATCAAGATGGCGGCGGGACTGTGCCCTCTCGATTTTTGGTGTTTTCGTGAAAAAATCCTTATTAGATCAAAAGTTATGGGCCAAAATATTACATGTACCCTTTACTCAGAGCTTTCACGTGGAAGTAAGACTTTGTTTTCAGCTATAATCAGCTACGCCGGCGTCCCTCAAAGAGACTGATTATCGGGCTTCATTGTTCTCGAGTGCAGTTACATGCAAATCCTGTCCGGACCGCTATTGTTTTCCAAGCTTGAGATCGAGAGGCGCGGCAGTTTTAAAAGTGAGAATTGACCAAAAATCTGTTCCGACCAGAAGGTTGTGGGTTTTGGGCGGTCTAAAAATCTTGACGTCGTAGAAGGGATTGAAACGATGTTGCTAGTATCGCGGTTTAGAAATTACTCAAGTATCGCGGTTGGGGAAAAATTATGGGCAAGCTCACGGCACTAGATTTTAGCGAACACGGCTAGTGCTATTTTAAAAAAACGATAGACGATAAACAAGGACAAGAACAACAACAGCATTAAAAATACATGAAAACAAAAAGAAAATGTCGACAGTTTACGGGCAAGACCAAATATAAATCCAAAATAAATTGGGACTTCATGGGCAAAAAGTCCGTAATAGTGTCACGCACCGCGTGCCGTCGCCAGCAAGCTACCCTGCATGCCAAACTAGTATCGGGCCGTTAGCCTTTTTCCTTCGGCAGCCGAGAGCCCTTCGCCCGCCTGCCTAAATTACCGCTACGGGGGAGTTGAGCCCGATGGCCAGCCAAACTCCCCCGGGCTAGACTCCCCCGTAGCGGTAATTTACACCAGCGGGCCAAGGGCTTTTGCCGCCCGGACAGCGAGTTTGGATTCCAGGGTACCAGCAAGCCCCTGCATGCACGCCAAGTTTTTTCAATTTTGGGGCGCCCGTGGACCAGCTTACAGCCAAGCCCGGCGTCATCGCCCGCCCTTGGATAGGGGTAAATACCATCCAGGACGCAATCAAGAAAGACATACAGACACCATAGCTTTCGATTCTAACGTTTGATCGTATTTTTGGCGCAAATGTTGACTCGAATGCTTTCAAAATTGTGGCGGCATTTTGTTCCTTTCTTTGACTATGCCTGCAAATTATTTGTTTCCGAATTTCCGTTCCGTCTTACAGCCGTAGCACACTAACGCTTTACATTTTGAAGTACACATGCCACTAAACTTTCGACTGAACCTTTACCTCGGAATATATCAAATTTATGTCGCATTTCTCGTAGCCGTAAGTCGTTTGTAAAGCTGTAAGTGTAACTTCATGAGTATGTGTTTCCGGGCGGCCATTTTGTTTCTTTTCTGGACGCGCACGCTTGGATGACGCTGGCTTTAGTAAGTCTCATTTCTTTCGATATTGTCTCCTAGTTGCACAAGATGAACGCCTTGCTGTGTCTGTAGATTTATAGATATCTTCTAAGCCGTAATTATGAGCTAATATTCATAAAAGCCATAGTGTAAACAAGCCGTGAAAGTTCAAAGCGTAGCAGTGACGCCATTGCTTCATGCTAGCGCTTTTTCCTGCTTGCGGTATGTTTATGCACGGCATTTGTAAAAAAACAAATACTTTTTGTACAATAAATTTTTATTTTTTGATGACCACCAGTGTATTGTTTGTTACTGTACGAATTACGTGTACGTTGTGTTCAAGTTGTAGTCAAGAACTTGTGAGGCTTGATTTGCGATCGTAACGTTAACGTAACGAGCTTGTATAGTCCAGCAAGATTCGGGGAGGGGGTGGAAAGATCAAACACTTGCGGTGAAATCTTTAATAGCGATGGAATAGTGACTGCTTAAGTCCTAAAATTAACTGACATTTCACAAATCAGGAATTACAGTAAACCTAGAGGTAAAATTGAAGACACAGATGAAGGCCGGGGCATTGTTAAAACGTGCGAAGCGAAGAACAATAGGGGCGGAGACGAGGCACGCATATCAAAAGACAAGCTCGCGGGTAAATCTTGCTGGGCGAGGAGCGATCAAAACATTTCTTGTCCCCGCCTGCAAACCTGCGAACCAATCAGCTACTGTTGTCAATGGCTAAATGAATGATTGACAGTGAATATTCATGAGCAGCGTGTTAGGAAAAATTCGACCCGATTTGACCATCGTGCAACAAAACTACAAAGCTTGACGATTCTAGGATACCTCTTGATGATGAGCGACAAATTGAATAGTGTTGGCAAATACATGTACATAGATGGTACAATTTCTTTTGGATACCACTGTTTGGTTTTGCATCATTTTCTTTTTGGTATAATAGTAACAGCGTCGTCTTTATAAGCAATTACTTTATAAGCAATAAGTAATTCACTTTATGTTCACGGTAGCAAAATTTCACGGTCTGAGAAAAATGGACATGTTCACGGAACTATATGTTCACGGTGGTGACAGGTGCAGGAAAAAGAAAGTCCAGGAATTTTTTGTTAACTGTGATAATAAGTTCACTGTACAGAAGTGACAGTGAAAACAGTGAACTTATCAGTATAGTGAACAAATCAGGAATTACAGTATTGCTTTGGTTATGCTTTCTGTTCACCAGTTGTATTTTCATAAGTTTGCCAATACACGATAATGCTCATATCAGATTAGCTAATGATGAATAATGTTGTTAAACATATTGACTTGATACCATTTCATAACTTTTTTGATATAACAACGGTAAAATGTGTTTCTTTTATCATATCTTTATATTCTGTACCTGTATCGGTATAGCCGGTATAACCGCCCTTCGGCGTAACACACCAGCTTCGCAGGCACGCGGCGCGGCGGCAGCTAGCTATATCACACCGAACGGCTTGTTACACTCAATCTTTGCATATTTGATTGCAGGAGTTGTTTAAAGTTTTCTAGTGATGATGCCCCAACTGTGCTTGGTGGCAACGATTTCCAGTCTACGATAGTTCTGGGGAAATAGGAGTTTTTGAATACCTCGATTCTTGGTTGATAACTCTGATATTTGAAGGCATGACTGTTTCTTGTTCTTTTCTGGGCTGGTATCAAATACTTTGTGGTTGGTACGTCCACCAGTTTATTAGTCATTTTGAACATCATGCACAGTCTGGACATTCTACGTCTGTCTTCTAGCGACCCCCACTGTAGGTGTCTTTTCATTTCCGTTACACTAGCACCCCTTTGACAGTTGTTCGTGCGGAATCTTGCAGCTTGCTTCTGTACCCTTCCCAGTTTGTCTTTGTCTTTCTTTGTATATGGATTCCATACTGTCGCGGCATATCCATGTAAAGCTAAATCGTGTTTCAAATCTGCCGTCATTACTGAAGTACTATGAAGTACTGAAAGCACTGAAATTTTAAGTTGTAGACGTCTTGTAGAATGTGGTCTTTAAACCATTTTTTCTTACACACCTGTGTTACTTTGATGCAACGACAGTATCATGCTTAACTAAAAAATGTTCCTAAACATGCAATTACGTTATTCTTCAATGGTGCAAAACATTGAAATGGTACAGAACTGGGGTTACATTTTGCCCTACCGTTAGATACCGTATTTTAGGCCATTTGGCCCCAAAATTAAGAAATTGAACAATAAAAAAAATGAAGAGGGTGAGCAGAAGTGAAATAGTATTCCAATCCGTACCTCTGGTATGGACTAAGATGAAATTGATTGTCAACGAGAATTAATGCATTTTAATACATTGGATTAGCGTCTACATGTACCTACGAGGAAATGCTTATTTCAAATCTTTTTTATTTGTCTATGGTTGAGGAGACTATTTTCGTCAATTTACCAATATTCAGACCATACTTTTTTGTAATCCTCGGACCCTTATACTTATGAATGATTTTAAAATTCCCAATCTAAAAATTGTATTATAACTTCAAAGGATGATTGGTAGCGTAATCAAATTCTGCCTGATGATGGTGTCATCATTGCATTTAGACGACATTCATGTAATGCTTTGGCTGAAGAAATTCCAAATGGCTATTTTTCCGTCAGTCCCTAAGGAATACAACAAAGCAAAAAACAGTGTCTGTCTTCTTGGACCTACGATGGCAACAACAACAAATTATTCCACTATATAAGAACTAGTTGCAAGACAAGTTTAAGGAAAAATTACTAAGTTTGCTTGTCACGGCCTTGAAAGCCCCCATTTCTGTCTAGATAGAGTAATTTTTTTTCAAGTATCAAAATTAAATGTGTTTTATCACAATGCCAGTGTGTGTGTGTGTGTGTGTGTGTGTGTGTGTGTGTGTGTGAATCCTTGTATATCAAAACTATGAAAACTGTATTTTAGATTTTTCAAGTCGCATGCAACTAAAAAAAGGCCAGTTGTAAATTTCACATGCAATGGTATATAAAGAAAGAAATGGAATCTTACGTTGGTTAATTGAAGTATTACTAATTGGAAGTCTCTCAAAGACTCTGGCATCGAAAGCATACATATCTTAACAGTTCTTGTACAGCGTATGAAGAGTTTTCCTAACACACTCCTTTCAGCTTTTACATAAGGCCATGTTGATTTTATTGTATTGATAACATCATCTGGGAACCGCAAACTAGCGCGAGTGTGCAAATAAAACTGTTTGGCAAAAAACGTGCTTTTATTATGAAATCTACGCGGTCATGAATGTTGAATAAATGATTCTGGTATGCAAAACAGGTTACTCTTCAAATTCATGTCTTTGGTATTTTTTGTCGTTTTTTTTCACTTTGGCACTCGTAGAAAATGATATAGTTTCCAACATTGTTCCAACATACGGTATTATTTCCTCATTTTGCAACTTTTTTTTTACGACGGTATGGTTGAAAACATTTTTTTTGGGGGGGGGCGAAAATTAACGCGCGCGCGGATGCAATTCATATGAATCATAATCAAATCAACATGGCCTAAGAAGGAAAGTTAATCGCACCATCGATGTTGGGAAGATGGTCACCTCTCTCTGTCGACACTTCCATTGCAAACTGATTCCGCCTGGCTTAGGGGGCTAATAGGGAAAAGGAAGGTACTGTTAGTAAATTTAGAATTGATCATTGCGGAAAACCTGAGTTAACGGAACCATACAAGACTTATAGGCTACAATTGGATGATATACATGTCATGGTTACTATAATGGTAGATCATACGTGACAAATCCTACCTTCTTGTGTCGTATGTTTTCGCCAAATCCGTTTATTTACTTTACTTTTGAAATGATAAAGTACTGGATGAATAATTATTTACATTTATTACTATTTAAGCCTTTAAACATATATTATTCCTTATGCAAATCTGTTACTTATGATTATTAATACAACTACATGTATTATCATTTATACATTTGTAATGAAACTGAAATATAAATACTTACTGCCGATGCAGGTATAGGTGGCCTCGAGATACTTCGCTGTGCCAAAACAGGGCTCTCCAAACACGCTATTTGATGCCTGGACAGAGCAAGTGCGATGACCCTGGCAATATTCTCGGACCTTTGACAGACTGTTTGAACTTTCACAGTTTTGTGAGAGTAGGATACCTTTTTTACAGGTGCTACCGTCTTTACGACCGTACATGGCATGCTGTACTTGTATTTCCAGACCCGAGTCACAAGACAAGGACATTGTCTGATCTTCACAAACCAGAGCTGTACGCTGTGTACCTGTAAAATAGAGAACGGCTGAATGTACTGTTACGTCTGATTGTGTTTTCAAGTCTTGTTGATACCTTTGTCATAACTTTAAACAATCATAGTGTTTGAATGGTGTGGACTAATGTTTTGAGTCTTGGAAACTTGTCAGCTTATCACTAAGCTTAACTGCCATTAAAATGCGGTACCATAGCCGAATTGTACCTATTTACACCGTCATTACACTGTGCCTAACAGAATACTAGTCATTGTAGGCTCTTCTTTCATGCACAAAAACAAAGCACGCACAAAAAGGAACAAACGGTCATGCAAACAGACAAACACATAAATCTAACCATATAAATTGAAAAGTAAATTCGCCTTTAATCATCTTAATTCGCCGTTCACCTTAGTTTGTTTTTAGTTGTGATAAAAAAGGCTTATGTAAAAGACGGAATCTAACCTTGGCAAGCAGGTCTGCCAGCTGCATTCACCGTCTCCCCATGACGACAGGCCGTGCATCTTTCAGACCCCGCGGTGCTGGTGAATATTCCGTCAGGGCAGTTGGTGCACCCCGTAGACCTCGTTCCGCTGCTGTATTGTCCAGCAGGACAGGGCGTGCAGCTCGTTGACCTTACTGTATTGCTGTATCTTCCAGCAGGACAGTCCGTGCAGCCGTTTGATCCCGCATTGCTACTGTATTGTCCGGCAGGGCAGTCCCAACAGCGGTTTGACCCCGTTCTGCTATTGTATAGTCCGACAGAACAGTCCTTACAACCCGTGGATCTGGCTGCATCGCTGTACTTCCCGGCGGGACAGGCCTTACAACCCGTGGACCTTGTTGCGTCGCTGTATTGCCCAGCAGGACAGTCCTTACAACCCGTGGATCTGGCTGCATCGCTGTACTTCCCAACAGGACAGGCCTTACAACCGGTAGACTCGGGTGCATCGCTGTATTGTCCGGTAGGACAGTCCGTGCAGCCGTTTGACCCCGCTGTGTTACTGTATTGCCCGGCAGGACAGACCTTACAACCCGTGGATCCTACCACATCGCTGTATTTGCCAGCTGGACAGTCTAAACAGCTTGTAGACCCGCCGCCTGTGCTGTACGTCCCGGCTGGACACTTTTGACAGGACGCCGCTCCCGGAGCGCTGCTAAACTCCCCTGCTGCACACGGCACGCACATTGTCCTGTTGTCGTTACTGGCCGTTCCCGCTGGACAGATGTCTTCCCGCTCGTCCCCCAGCTTACACTCATGGCCGGGACGACATTGGTGGCAGGTGAAGGCACTGTTATTTCCTATACGAGAAAGTAGAATGCACCATGTAGTAAAAAAAAAAAAAAAAACAGTAACAGCAAATTGTGCAACATCACAGTTTTATAGGTCTTGACAGCGTTTTTGTATGTAAACAGTACACTAGCTAGTGCTGACATGCCATAATATAGTATTTACATTAACCAAATTGTTATGATCTGGAATCGTGTGACTGTGTGTGTATTTGTAAATAGCTGCCTGTGAATGAGTTCTAACCGGTTTCGCAAACAGCACTGCAAACTTATGGCATCGTTTCGGTATAAAGATAAGGACGCAAAAAAGTCAGGTTTTGGAGTTAATACGTCACGTTTATTTACGTCACGTATGGCAGTCACACGTAACGTATGGCATAATATATTGTCACGTTACGTAAATGTGGTTCTGCGATTCCCGTGTCCGGCAGGGTGCCAATGCGAAACTGTTTCACATAACCTACTCCAATGCCAAATGTACAATATCCAACGCTCAACCCTCGTCGGCAAAATATTCGGGCTCTAAGGACACACCCTAGATTTTACAACTCTTCCAGACAACGCTTAAACATCTCTTCTACTCCGTGGTAGTCCGTTCTACTCATTTTATGTCAACTCAAACATATTACTTTATCAGAACGTTTTTAAAGGTTCTTTTTATATATTTAATGTAATAGTGTCCTTGCATTGTCATCAAGCAATCATTGGGTCGGGAAGCGGACTTGCGCATAATTAAATCACTTAATATTGTACATATTTTGAAGTGTATGTTTATCTTCTTTATTGTATTCATATGTTTAGTGGTGGTGTCAAAATAGGTTCATAACTTGTGTGCTCCACCACTTCCTTCTGTATTCCGTTTTGTGTGTATGATCAATAGAATGAATTCCCGTGTCAAAATTACGTACGTAAAGTCCGTACGTGACATATGTCAAGTCATATGAGTCATATTTTTGGAGTCCGTACGTGACATATGTCAAGTCATACGCCACATATGGTAACAGGTACGCTTCATCCATACGTAACGTTCTGATACGCATTTATGGTCAAAATAACGTAGGGCGTGAAATAGTTTTGGGATCTATGTAACGTTTACGTAGAATATTTATGTTACGCTGCGTTAAGTGTTACGTTTCAATACACTCACATACACTCGCACGAAAATGCTACCGAGGAACCTCGCCCACTATCTTAGTTACCCATACCTATCCACTTAATACACAACCATTAACATTCACACAAAAAAGATATATGTGACTAAAACATGCCCATTTCAGCACAAAGAATAAAAAAAAACTGTGATTCTGCTGCAGAACCAAAAACAGCCACTATACATGACATTGACCACTGTCCACCAAAGGCCTGTTTACCGAAGACATGCTTACCGAATATTAACACCATCCAGTCAGGCCTTCTGATTTTATGCTGGCAACAGATATAGGATATAGCGAAGCACACACACACACACACACACACACACACACACACACACACACACACACACACACACACACAAACAGAGAGAGAGAGAGAGAGAGAGAGACAAACACACAGGCCCAAAACATCATTTTCCATTTTTCATATTGGTAAAAATTGAAAACCTAGCAAGCCCAGGGCAAAAGATACCGGAACAGAAATAATAAAGTACCGCCGCCAGGGGGACAAAAACGACAATGACCTTTGTCTTCCCAAGAACTTAAGCACTAAAGTTATACTGACCACAAATATATGGAACAAGACTACTAGATACAATGATGTACGCAACCAGTCTCAAAAATTCTAAAATGAAAACGTCGACATTTTCAAGCTTACCTGATGGAGAGGCTTGACAGATGAACTTCCTGTTGTCTCTGGTACACGGCCCATCGTTCCATTTGTTGTACGAGCCTTCTGGATTGTACTCGGCACAGTCCTCGTTACCATTATAGTTGTCGGGTTGTCCTTGACCCCAAGCTCTGAAGTCGCCCAGAGGAACGTTATCGTCCCACATCCAAACTCCCTCCTGGTGGTCATCAGTCAGTCCAAAAAGGAACAAAGCGTTGTTGTCGACGGCATTTTTCAGATGGATGAGGAAGTTGTTGGTTGCGTTGTCGCGGGGCATGGCAAGGGTTCCCCCGTCTGAAGAGCACCTTCTGACTGCACCGTCGTAGGTTTCAGTGTCGTTGAAGGCCTTGTAGCACAGTTGACTATGTTGATGGTAAACGTACCCGTCTGCGCAACCTATTTCAGAACGAAGAAAAGCTTGATTACCTAATACCCTCGTCATGTATTAGTTTGGTTTTTCAGAAATATGCCGCTTTATATGGTTTGACTTTTGCTGCATGGTATGTTATTCAAAGCATGTGAGTGGCTCCAAACAGTGCGAGTTTTTTTGTCGCACCAACTACCTAGGGATTAGAATGCGGTGGCGACAAATCGATTCTTCATGGTACCATCTGACCTTACAAACCCCCTCCCTTGGGGGACAAATGTTGACCTTTAAGGTGATCAGTGTCTGATGCCATATCTACACCTAATTGCTCCCATATTTGTGATGCCAAGCTTAGACAAGTCCCCTCTCTTTGTAGGGTCACAAACGTAAGATTACAACTGTCATGATAAACAGGATGGCATACATGTAGCTGGACTTTATTGAGTACTTCCTCTTGTTTGCTGCTTTTAGGTGACTCCATGTAATATAACATAAATTATATGCATTTTCCTTGAAAGATTGAGTACCAACGGACTTAAAAATGTCAAAGCTTTTCTAGAAAAGCAGATACCTGGTAAGCCGTTTTTTCAGCCAAGTTTCTGTTCTTCTGTAATATTTAAGCATTGTTTGTAATCGTGCCCTAAACATGTTTCTGACATGCCCCAAAATATTTTTGGCTCGTCACCATGGTAACAAACAGTGTAGCGGAAAGAAAGCTATTTGAGAGGTTGTAGGCCAAGTACTATTACTGTGCAAAATTTGAGCCAAATCGATCTTTTTTTACGCCTGACACCACTTTTTCATCCTTACAGACATTAGCTCGTGTTTTAACTTGACGAACCTTTAACAGCTTTCTGTCCAGGTCTGCATCCATCCACACAACGTCCGTCATGTTGATACTTGCAGGTGTCACAGTCTGTTGTAGCAGGTCCGGAGCAGGTCCTTTTATCTTCATTACTGACGTCTTTGCAAAGGCTGCTGCACTCTACAAACATTGAAATAGGCCTCCTTACTACAAATTTAGTGTTCGGTATACTAGTATGCTAAATATTCGTCATTGAGTTAGCTTGCAATATAAAAACATTGGATAAAATCAGAATATAGAAGTAGTACGAGTTAAGAACACTTTTGTTGTGAAAAATAATTGTAGTTAACTGATAACTTTAGAGAATAATGCAAATATGCAATCAATTCATGTGTACCTACATATTACATTTATTGAAAAAAGTTTTATGCCCAATTGAATCTTTAAAAAAAGTTCTACGAAATTGAATATTAATTTAATATTTTGATGAAATGTATTAATAATAACATGTTCTTATATATTAAACGAAATGACAATGAAAAACTAATATGAAATTTACCTTTACACACACCGTCTGCCTCAAAGTGTGTCAGAGGGCATTCCGTCACGCAGTCCACAACACCTTCAGGGCGGGTTTCTTCCATCCTTTTAATGCCTGAATAGAAACAGAAATATAGAATTAATACCTTTGCCAAAAATATTCCTTTTTTTTCGTAGCGTTTGTGTGCATTTATATATGGATTAGCACGTCAAGAATCTTAAGATCAAATGTCTGTAAGGATCAAACAATGGTGGCAGGGGTCAAAAAATCGATTTGGCTCAAACTTTGCACAATGACATTACTTGGCCCACTACCCCTCAAAATAGCTTTCTTTCCGGTCAACACCGATCGTTGCCATGGTAACGGGCCAAACAAGTTTCGGGGCCATTTCCCTTGATTTAGACATGTGAAAAACATGAAATTTGGCATAGTTTAGGGCACGATTACGAGCAAGTGCTTTAACATTATGGAAAAACAAAATGTGGGCCTAAAAGACCAAGTAATCCGCTATTCTAGAATAGCTTTGAAATTTTCAAAAAGTTCGTTTAAAGGACCTGGGCAACCCTAACACAATACAGTGTTTGAGGCTTATAAATAGCGTTATTTCTGCCCAACTTCGAAGTGCTGTAAGTCCAAAGATGGTGATTTTTTTTGCTTCATATTTGAATCATAGATACATAAACATATGTGCTATAAACTGCATGGTTGCAAACTTTGGGCACTTCTTTGGTTGTCACGTGGTTGTCCTTAGAAGTAGGTCAAATTTTGAATTTGAGGGAAAATATGATTTTTAGCCATGTTCAGGATACAATATCTACAAAAGAAAGAAAGCAATCTGATAAAGTCTTTTGCCCAAAGTAACACTATGTCTTGACTATTGAATTAATACCTGTGGAGGTTGGGTCTTGTGTCGTTGGTGTGTACTTGTCCCTAAAAGTAGGCCATATTTCGGACATGTACAGAAATTGACATATACGGCTATGTTTGAAGGTCTAGAAATAACAAAGTAGGATGTCATTTGAATTCAATCTTTGCAGGAAAGTTGATATATGTATTGTGTATCAAATGAATACTTGTGGAGGTTGGGGTCTTGTGTCGTTGGTGTTCACTTGTCCCTAAAAGTAGGCGATATTTTGGACATTTACAGAAATTGACATATACGGCTATGTTTGAAGGTCTATAAAGAACAAAGTTAGATGCTATTTCAATTCAAGCTTTGCGGGGAAGTTATATATATATAGTTATGTATATATATGTATAAATAACTGTCCGCGCCAACTTTTATGTCACCTAGCGTCTGAACGGCTGGTGGTAGAACGGCCAAACTTGGTAACTTTTCCTAAAATATTGTTGGCAACATATTTCTATCTTTGGAATAAGATAATCATTTCATGGCAACGGGTTTCTGACAGGCATTTTTAACTAAATTTAGTAATTTTTGTTTCAACAATAGAATTTTATGAGTTTTATGTCAAGTTACTCATGGTTTCTAATATAAATAACATCCTATGTAATCTTATGTTAATTTTATCATTCAATATGCATAATTTATGCTAATTTGATGGCGTCATGGGCCAAAATCCAAGATGGCGGACCATATCATTAGAACAGGTATATACATGTTATTCCCCTTAAAATTTCATCACCACTTCCATTTCTTTTTCAAGAAAGGTTTAAATGAAGGTCTTCAGTGTGTTTACAATGTATCTTAAGCTTTATCATGAAAAAATAAAAAACTATTTTTGAAAATTCAAGATTGATTCTCCAAGATGGCGGATATCTTAACCCAACCTAGACGGGGGGGGGGGGTAAAAGTGCCCGCGCCAATTTGATGTCACCTAACAATTCTCCATCATTNTATATATATATATATATATATATATATATATATATATATATATATATATAAACTTCCCCGCAAAAATTGAATTCAAATAGCATATAACTTTGTTCTTTATAAAGCTTCAAACATATCCGTATATGTCAATTTCTGTACATGTCCAAAATATGGCCTACTTTCAGGGACAAGTGCACACCAAAGACACAAGTATTCATTTGATACACAATACATATATGTACTTTCCTGCAAAGATTGAATTCAAATGACATCCTACTTTGCTATTTCTAGACCTTCAAACATAGCCGTATATGTCAATTTCTGTACATGTCCAAAATATGGCCTACTTTTAGGGACAAGTACACACTAACGACACAAGACCCCAACCTCCAAAATTATTCATTTAATAGACAAGACATAGTGTTACTTTCGGCAAAAGACTTTATCAGATTGCTTTTTTCTTTTGTAGATATTGTATCCTGAACATGGCTAAAAATCATATTTTCCCTCAAATTCAAAATTTGACCTACTTCTAAGGACAACCACGTGACAACCAAAGAAGTGCCCAAAGTTTGCAACCATGCATTTTATAGCACATATGTTTATGTATCTATGATTCAAATTTGAAGCAAAAAAATCACCATCTTTGGACTTACAGCACTTCAAAGTTGGGCAGAAATAACGCTTTTTTATGAGCCTCAAACACTGTATGGTGTTAGGGTTGCCCAGGTCCTTTAACCCTCAACAGAACACCTTCCTGGACTGATTAATCTGTACACCTGGGGTCCGCGCGGACCCCAGAACAGTTTTTTGCTAACTTTTAGAAATTATCAACATGCTACCAGCTCAATTGTTTTGCAAACTGATGTGGGAACCTCTTTGTCCACATTACATACAAAAACCATACATTTTAAACTTTTTCTATTTTTTGGTGAAGAAAAGAAGACAAGAAGAAATACCCGATTTTTAAACCCATTTCAGACTGAAGGGGCTTTTGAGGCCCAACTTTGATCTCAGATAGCGGCTAAACGGCTTGCGCTAGAAGTATCAAATTTGGAGACCTTTCCTAAAATGTCTCTGGAAAAAAGTTCATATTAGTTTAATACTAGTAACTTGATGTTTTTTTGTGTTGCCATGGCAACGGGTTTCTAGCAGGAAGTTTTTTTGAAAATAGAAGTAATTTTGGTTTAAACATAAAAATTTTCTGAGTTTTATATTAAATTACACTTCTTTTCCAACATTAATAACATCTTATACAATCAAATATAAGTTAAATCATTTCATATGCATAGAATATGCTAATTTGATGACGTCGTTGGTCAAAATCCAATATGGCGGACTATATTATTAGCTCTGACGTCATATGACGTCATAATTACACCAAAGTTATTAAAATTTAATTCTATTACTACACCAGTCTCTGAAAACTTGGTAGACATACGACGAGTGCATAAAAACATTAAAAAAACGGAAATAAGGTAATGTATAAGAACGCCAGTGTATCCATTATGATCGAAAGCCGGCTGGGGTCCGCGCGGACCCCAAAAGAAAATCAAATATATTTTTTTTTATAAATGGTAGAAACGGAGTTTTCTGCACTGTATTGAGAGACAACTTTGTGGGTGACAATTACCTATAATTTCAGAAAAAAATCTTTAGAAACAAGAAAGATATTACAGAATATATAGTGCTGGGGTCCGCGCGGACCCCAGGTGTACTGTTTAGGGTTAAACGAAAGTTTTGAAAATTTCAAAGCTATTCTAGAATAGCAGATTACTTGGTCTTTTAGGCCCATATTTTGTTTTTCCATAATGTTAAAGCACTTGCTCGTAATCGTGCCCTAAACTATGCCAAATTTCATGTTTTTCACATGTCTAAATCATTGGAAATGGCCCCGAAACTTGTTTGGCCCGTTTCCATGGCAACGATCGGTGTTGACCGGAAAGAAAGCTATTTTGAGGGGTTGTGGGCCAAGTAATATCATTGTGCAAAGTTTGAACCAAATCGATTTTTGACCCCTGCCACCATTGTTTGATCCTTACAGACATTCGCTCTTAAGATGGATTGTCATAAAACCTCGTAGGTCTGTAGGTCTTAATATGACCTAGAACTGACAAGATTTTGGCAGTTACGTGAAGGTGAACATCATTTAAAATCCATTCAAATCAAAACCTTATTTGCACATATCATGACGAAATACTAAACTAGCCTTCTCTCTAGCGATTAGACTGGAGAATATGACCAACTGTTAAAATCTATGATAAAATGGAATAAGGATATTATTTTCATTTTTTTTTTTTAGTCAAAATTATTAACATAGTTTGGCGAAGGAATACGGTATTGGTCCTGGTTATCTACTTTGTCGCTTAAAGCACGATACACTGTGGAAGTATTTGTTACTTTCTTGTTGAAATAGATAAAAAGTGAAGCGTGATATAGCAACTAGAAAAAAGAAAACATACCTCTCTTATGGTGTGTAGTACATACTCACATTTGCATGATGTTGTAGCTGTGTCAGATTCCATGTGCTGTGGACACTGCGAGACGCATTTGAAATCACCAGTGTGTCCCTCTCTGTAGGGGTAGGACACCTTCAGATGTTTACAGGCGATGCAGTCAGTCGGGGAGTTTGATCCACTTGTGCGGCATCCTGTGAATAGATAGAAAGACAAGATCATCCATTTAACTACAAAATATTTCTTTGATTACTAAGCTAATTAATTATGTCATTATTTCACCGCGACAAGCTAAGGCTCACCCCAATCGAAAAAAAAAACATTATAACAAAGAGGGGAAAACGCGTAAGATGAACCAAGTCGCTGAGGAAAAACAACAAAAGAAGCAAATTCCTTTGAAGTCTTTGTACACTACAAGGTAATTTTACATGAGGTGGATCCGTCGATTTGTTCTTTTGGAACCAAACATAACGCGAGCAACTATAATTAAACTACAATTAATAATAATGATTTTAATAAGACTACATAATTCTCTAAAATGGATAAAAAATCAAATATATAAACGAGGTCACCTTCACACTCCGAGTGACATTTTTGTTGACAGACCCCGTTGATCATCTCCGTCCCTTCCCGGCAGATGATGAAGTCCTTTGCCGGCTTGTCCAGCAGTGACAGTCCCATCACCTTGACAGGAGACTCCCCACTGCCGAAGGAATAGTACCGAAGGGACGCCACCTCGTTGAATTTAAAACTCAACCAGACGTGGGGACGTTCCTATCATTATTTGAGTAAAATATATTTATTAATGGCTTTTGTCCTAGAAAACGATCTTGTTTAAGCAGAAAAAGAATTCTGAGTTTCGTATTTATGTATACATGTGCATACCTCGTTGTCAGGCGTCTTGCCGTATTGAACTACTGTTGTCGTCTCTTCAACATCTTCAGTCACACAGACAAAGTACGACTGGTACAGGGTTGCCGAACCCAGACCGCCGGCGTCGTCATTCAGCTGGGTGGTCTGTAGCCGCAGTGCCTACATGTTTGTAAGCAAAAAAATAATATTGTCCCATTACAGTATCTTAAAAAATAGTAAGATTCTTATGAATCTTATGTAAACAACTGAATAAATAGGAATCTATATTTTTGGCTCAAATGCATAGAGGCTGGGTACACCTCAAATACACTACTGATAGTAGTTATAGTGATATCTAGAACAATTGACACAAAAATCACTGGCTCGGCCCATTAAGCATGTCTACTAAATGTCCAACCCAAACAATTAAACCTTTTCGTACATTTGGGAATAGCTGTTTTAGGGAAAGACCGTCGTTGCAACCCTTGGTCAATGAGATTAAAAAAAAAAAGAAGACAAATGCCACGTCAGTTTTCATGGCCGTAAAAATGTATATCTTATAAAACCTTGCAGAGTTAGAGTTTGTTCTGCTGACCTTATAAATTGCCACTCCCTCAGGTGAGATCTGTATGTATATCCAGGTCTCATGGTTTTGCGGGATGCTGGCAAACACAACAAATATGTCACCCTCTGATGCTGCAGTGAAGTGGATGCACTTTCCTCCATCGGTCGGATCAAAGCGATGTGCGTTGGACCATTGGATGCTACACGGTACGTCTCCCACTGTGTCACTGCAAAACAACAGCAGGGACTCACACACATAATCAGATTGACTCCACTAATCTTAATTGTATCACCTATGAATTATTAATATTTAAAGTTAAAGCAAAAAAATAATATTCATTTTGACACGACTTATTCCCTTATCATATTTGGTCTAGCGTTGATTACTTACCTTTTCTGGCTCAAGTGGTTGAGTAGTTGTTTGTACTCAGCTCTGGCGACGTCACGACCTTTAACCCACCCTGGCAAGTCTTTCAGTAGTGTAGCTGATGCATTAAAGTCGTCTTCCGTCACCGTGAAGACACCTGTTCCCTCATCATACGTCATGACAAGTCCCTGAAGGCTGACCTGCGGAATCGTCAAGTCATGTACAATTGCATTTGTAAAACTGCAGAGAAAGTTAATCTGTGTTGGTAGTAATCATAGTAAAATGTTGGACTTTGTTCCAATACAAAAATTACACAGAGATCGAATGTTTGACGATCACTGTCGCCTTCATCAGTATAATTTCTGACCAATCACTTTAAAACATTATCTCGCGAGAGTTGAGATATACAGACACGTGACATTAATCATATAAGACTTTACGGATACGTGATGTAAGCAATAGGTCAAAAGTACCAGGCAGTTTATATCGTCCACCGTCTCTGTGATGACTGGAGTGCCCTGATGAAGGCGACGGTGGTCGTTATAAATTTGATCTCTGAGTAATCCTTGTAATACACAATGTTCTGTATGTTCTGATTTCTTTACCTTTTTCGCCTGGACGTCGTTGCTTCCCCCGTTTTTGTAGCCATCATACAGATGTGGTACAGACCCTTTCCTGGTAGAGAACCACATGTGACGGAAGAACTTTATTGTCAGCGCGTCTTGGGCCCGAAGAATCCCCGGAATGTCGTACGGCATGTCAAACACGACCATAAACTCTTGTCCTCCGGTCATGTCTTCCCATGTGGGCACGCCGGTGTTGTCTTCCTGAAGGAACGCCAACATGGCGGTTTCACAACCTGCCTCTCCAGCGGGCAGGAGGAAGTCTGAACTCAGGATACGACCCTACAAGAATATATACATAAGGGTTATTTTCTGTGTATATATCTGCAATCACTGGACTTACTCTTGAAGTCTAAAAAAGAAAACAAACACATGTAAAATCATTGAGTGTTGAACTGAAGGCTTACAATCCAAAATGAGCTGTTTAGCTATACCAGGTGTAACGGTCAGTATTATTCTCCTTACCTCTTCTAGGTACACTGTAACAGCACGTTGAAGCGCCAGCCTCCTCTTGGCCATGCTGTCCTCAAGGTTTTTACGGTCTTTAAAATTACAATAACGGATCTCAGTGACCGTCACCGCTTCAGTCTTATTCTTAGTCCCCTTGTCATCATCACCAGGTTCTGTTGTCTCTTGTGTGTAGTACGTCCGACCTGTTTCCTTTTCTATTTGTAGATTCCTGAAAAATAACCAATAATAAGCTGTTATAAATCTAGTAAAATATCAATATACAATCAAACTACCCTGAGGCAAAATGTTGACTTCCGTTTTTAAAC